CAAATAAAATATTTAGATGGCGACTCTATATTTGGCAAAACAGTCTAATTTTGGTATTTTTGATTCAAAATCAATTTTCCGAACGATTTGTCAGATTTGGACATTTTGGTGATTCTCAGTTTCACATTACACTTGTGAGAGTAGATTCAGAACCGCGAGAGTCCGAACTGTAAGGCTTTGTTTCAAACCTTCTGAAAAGGGGCGCGAAAAACCCAAGCTACAGTTTCTGGCGACTCTGCTGGAGATTTAGAGAACTTGACTCGAACTCATGATATGAAATTTTATCTACACTTACGTGTTTATTTTCATTTTCATTTGCATTGGTGCGCCTAAGTCATAGTGTTTGCCACCGTCTATTCCTGAATGGTTTGCCGAAGGCTCGCTCAGAAAATCTTGCCAAAAGGCTGACCGGTTGCGGGCTTTGCCACGATGGGAACACAACCCTTGGATCGGGACTACCGCTGTACCGTTTGATCCTCCTTTCACTTCTCGGTGTTGGGTGTGAGAGGTATATTAGGTAGTCTTGCTGAGGTACCCTTTTTGACCAATCGATCTAGTTGCATATCGAAAACCATAGGGACTGTTCCAAACTAGGACATGATGCTTACCCAAATGTAGGATTGTGTGAAACCACTTGTCATGCATAGTGAACCCTAGTTCCTGACGAAACTAGGACATGGTAACCCTCCCCAATCATAGGGGTGTTTTGGCTCTTAATTGACTGTTATGTGTTTTTGGAGTGAAACTCTATAGGAATGTATGTATCAGTTGTAAGTCTGGGTATCAGTTTTTGAGAGGCAAAATTCAGTATTGAGCATGGTTCCACGGCTTTGATTACATCAGTGCACTAATTAGAATCTGAGCAGAGGTGCTGTGTGGTTTCTGATTTTTGTTTTTCTTTTGATTTATTTCTTTTTGCAAGGTAATTTTTCACTATTGCTTTGGACGATCTTGTTACCGCCCAAGCACTCTGGACCAAGTGAGAAGGATTTGCAGATTCGGGGATCTTGTTAGGGGACAACCAGTGTTTGTTTCACTCCCACCGGTAACTAGATGGAGGAGGATCAGACAGAATTCAATAATCCTGCAGTCACCGTTTACTTTGCTTGCGCCCAGTCAGGCCCAGTCTTCTACTTCTACTTCAGAAAGAGAGCATTTGCCAGTTCTGATAACTCAACGTCCCCCAGTCAGCATCGAAGATATGCTTCGTCAGCTCCAGCAGACCATTAAGACTATGTAGCTAGATGCTGTCTGCCAAGCCAAGGTCACAGCTCGCCAAGCTAAGGTCGCAGCCCACCAAGCAGAATTGATAGATAGGCTTCAGCAGCAACAACTACAACCGGCAGTAGCCTTTGCATCCCATGCACCCCTAGTGGAAATTCCAAAACCTGGAGTCATAGTCAATGTCCAAGAGAATATGGCATTTCGGCAGATCGGATCCCACCTCAGACCTTCAAGGCACTAGTTTAACAAATGGAGGCGCGATTTGAATTTGAGGTTGACCCCACTGCATTAAAAGTCAACAAGCTAGAAAAGCTCTTCAAGCAGGGGCAGGGCATGAATTCAATCCCTAACATTGAGGATGGATACACAACTTCCGCGGTAACTCTGCCAAACAGATTTAAGATGTCGCATATAGACCGGTTTGATGGCTCTAGGGATCCTATGGTCCATCTACGGTTATTCTCTGACATCCTACGACTAATGGGTCTCATCAGACTTCAAAAGTTGTCACTTTTTTGTCGGATCCTGTCGGGTATAGCGGCCATCTGGTACGCAAAGCTGGAAGACTTCGTGAAACGAAACTGGGAGGAAATGGCCGAGGCTTTCATCGCGCAGTACTCCTACAATTCCCAGATTAAAGTCACGACCCGTGATCTAGAAGCGACCCGTCAGGAGCCAAAGGAAGGCTTCTCGAACTTTGTAACCTGGTGGAGGGCCAAGGCCTTTATGATGACTATTCGGCCATTTGAAAAGCACCAAATCAGAATCGTGGTCCGTTACTTGCAAGGAAGATTATTAAGAAGATGATAGCCTTACCTTTGTTTAAATTTGCTGGGCTCCATGAGATAGGGGTTCAAATTGAGGATGCAATCAAGCAGGGGCTGATAGACCATGAGAAGGAACAGCCCAAAAGGCCTTTTACATGCAGCTCCAATGTAAACATGAGCGGTAGCACTTCTGCATGGCCTTAGGATGTGAGCATGGTCACCACCACACCCAAAACTACCAACCTAGTTGTGAACACCTCCAGCATAACTCCACAAACCTCAACCGGTCAGGCCTGATCTTAAAGGGTCTTTACCCCACTCCAAATGCCTTTATCCAAAGCCCTAGGGGTCCTGATAAAAAAGGGGCATCTTAAACCACTAGAGCCTTGTCTTCTACCCGATCCTCTTCTCCCGAGACACAACCCGGCCAAATACTGCACTTTTCACCAGTAGCATGGTCATGACACTGATCAATGCTATAGACTGCGTCATGAGATTCAAGATCCCATTGACAATAAGGTGATAACGCCTCCCCAAAAGCCAAACGTCACTACAAATCCTCTCCTACCACATAACCAAGTCCCTCCACCTCGGCATATAAACCTCATCCACACACTGGCCGTCCCTTATGACCCCAATATATACATTACCCCTTCCCACTTACCTAAGCTACATTATTCATCCCTAATAGCACGGACTTGTGCATGATGAACACATCTACACTCCAACCCGAACCAGCGGTGGTGACAATGGAAGATAAATGGAGGTCTGCCTTGGTGGAGAATGCCAGTCTGTTGCTTGAGGATTCCGTGGATTTATCTGGGGAGATGTACAACCCGAGCTGCTATACTGTGCCAATCGATCAAGCTAAGCTGAAAGTGGTGTTGCCAGCTGGAATGAAGGTCAGTGTAGTTCGTGAAGATGGACCAAGCCAGGGATTAGATGATTTAGCCGACTTGGAGGAGGATATAGACAATTTGTAGTTCTTTGATGAGTAGGATCAAGGGGACGTGCATATTGATTGGTTCAATCTGAACGGGTTGATAAACAATTCTGGGTGGCTAAGTGATGAACCCGATATAGATGAGGAAACTGAATTGAAGCTGGAAGAATAGAAAATGGGAACCACTGCAGTAGCTGGAATGGTTGAGGACAAGGGGAAATTGCTGGAGAGCACCGTTGTCAAGAATTCAGCTCAAGAACTGGGTGCCGTGAGCACCGCTGATATAGAGCAAGAGGCCTCATTGAAGTGGTTTGAAAAAGAAAGGGATTAAAACAAATAGGAAGCTGGGATAGTTCAACACCCTGTGGGGAATGTTTCTACTGAGAGAACACTTAGATCGGAGCTGGACAATTGCTTTCGGTTGCTGGAGGTATATGGTGGGAGGATGATGATTTGCATCTTGCCCACACTGACGAGGATTGGGGCGAAGACCTTCCTGATAACACTTGGTATGTAGAAGAAGTTGACCACATGACAAGAAATGGTTGATACTTCAAACCACTGCATTTGGACCAACTTGAGGCATCCGGGAAGGATAAAGAAGTTGAGAAACAGAGGGAAGACAGTTAGAGGAAGAGGCTGTGCTGAAATGGTTGAAGAAGATTCAAACTGACATATCTATCTGGGGTCTGCTTATGGCTTCACGAGTGCACAAACAGGCTGTAGTGACGGCGATGGATAAAGCTAAGTTGTCCAGCGTTACCACCTCGGAACAACTGGTGGGATTAGTTCTCCTGGGAGGCCCCGCACCAAGTTTGACCTTTTCAAACAAGGAATTACCACCAGAAGGCTCTGCACAGAACAAGCCTTTATACATATTTGTAGAGTGCCGTGGAAAGTGGATACCAGTGGTATTGGTCGACACTGGGTCAACAATTAATGTCTGTCTTTGTCGTACGGCTTATGCTATTGGTCTGAAACCGGCCGATTTTGTGCCTACAGCCCAGGTGATCCGGGCATATGACAATACGATTAGAGAGGTGATGGGGACAGTGCAAATTAGAGTACAAGTTGGGCCGACTCAACAAGATATCGAGTTCCATGTCCTGGATGTTCCGGCCACTTTCAACTTACTACTTGGGTGACCCTAGCTGCACTAAGTGAAAGCTGTCTTTTCCACTTTCCACCAAATGCTGAAGTACCCCCATGGAAAAAGGGTGGCCATAGTTTTTGGGAATTCATCTATACATCATCCACCAGAGGTCAATATACCTGTGTTGGAAATTGTGCACGACGAAGAGGATGTTTTCCTCTCTGGATTTACCTTGGTTGACGCCCGGGCAGTACAAACCATCTTGGCGTCGAATGAGGGATTATATATTAGTGCCCAATCGATCTACTTCATGAACAAACTTCAATACATGCCAGGAATAGGATTAGGGAGAAGTGGCCGGAAGGGCGTCACTAGGTTGGCCGATGTGCCACATAACCCACATGCCTTTGGTCTTGGCTATACGCCCACCAAAGAGGATTGGGTGAGGAAAGAGAAAGAGATGGTTGGATAAGCAAGAGCTAAGCAGACCGGAAAGTGCTACGAG